GACAAAATAGTTTTTGTGAAAAGGGACAAGAATTTGAAACATATATTTTTATTTTCGAATACTTGTACACGAAGGAAAAAGTTTTACCCAAATTAAGTTGATAAACGTTTTCTTTTCGAAAAAATGTTTCACAAGTTTTATATTTGTTACTTTCATGAAAAAGCGAATTTTCTTAAAGAAATCCCATAAATAATGCTCGATTGAATTAAAATTATAAACATTGGTAAAAGTTTAAAAAGTGCAGCTTGAGGACAGAAATTAAGCGATAAATAAAAAATGCTCCATTACAATGCTTTAAATATTCTTTTTGAAAAGTAAAACGACATTTTTAAACATTTTCCTTGTTTTTTTTTAATAAATACTAGAGTTCTACGACTCCTTCTAGATAGAACGAGTTGTTAACATGTGAAATTAAATAAAAGTGTTAAGAACCACTTTAATTTCAAACGGGACTTTTTTGTACCATTAAATTTCAGTGAATAGATTAATTGCGAGTTGTAACATTCTTGATGTGTTTTACAACCTTAAAACAAGTGCTAGAATTCAAGATTTCATTTAGTTTTTTTTTCTTCTTTTATGATTTAACTTTCTATTTTTTCATTAGAAGTCTGTAACATAAAAAAAATCTTTTCAAACAACTCATAACTGAAACGAAAATACGTTTCTGGATAGAATAAAAAAGAAAGACAAATTTTGCTATCTACACAAAAATGAATAGCAAACTAGCACTAACATAAATAAATGAAACCTAACTTTGCACAAACTACTCTTTTCAGCTGCTTAACTGTTGTTGAAGCTTTGTCTACAAGGAGGGACGTATTTTGTAGATAAGAAAACACAGCTGTAAGTCTGAAAAAAAATTTTTTTAAAAATCCTAGTTTTTTTTGTGCAGAAGGGGAAGAATAAAAATAAAAGTAATAAAAAATGGGAAAAACTCTGGAATATTTTGCCCACTCCCGGATCTCTCCCCGGCTCGTTAGTTTCCGGAAGTCACCGGATGATGACTTCCGGCGAGTTTCGATATGTTTATGAAGCACCTTGAGGTTTTTAAAGCAACTCCTGCCTTTAAAGCAGAGAGAACGCAACACAGATAAATGTTAGGTGCTGCCAGAATAGATAAGATGGCTTGCATTCGAATACTTCTGCGAGAATTTCTTTAAGCATATATATATTTTTCCTTCCCTTTTACCTTAACAAGCATTTTAAAGAAAGTGTAGAGAAACCTTTGTCCGACTCAGCAGTAACAGTGCTTACAATAGGAAATAGAGTTTATAAATCTTTTATAAAATGGGTATTTTTTTCTTTGGATACGTTTTTTACTTTTTAAAATTTGACAGGAAATTCAAAAGCAATTGTATCCTTTAAGGGTGTCTTCTTTTAATGTAGGTGAATAAGATTTAAATGAGAAAAAAAAGTTCTGATATAGAAAAATTACTTATTATTAATATCATGTAGAAGATTTTCAATTAAAAGAATTTAAAAGAATCTGAAGTTTGGAAGAATATGCCACTGTTGAATGATATTTACGACATCACTTATAACTGGCAACCAATAATATCGTCAAATAAAAAAAAAATGAGGAAGGATAATGAATCTACGCAGTTTTATTCAGCAAATGTCTATTGTAAGAATAACAATCTTAATAATTAATAATAAACCAGTTTAATATTTCCTTTCAAACAATAATATATAGCTAAGTGTTAAAATTTTTAAGTATTCTACCCACTTATTCAATTTCGCTTGCATTGTGGTTTTACCAGGATTTTCGTTATACGGGATTTCCCGTTTCCCATTCATTTTTTATCCATGAATCCTGAGTACAGAGTACTTATGGCCAGTCTCTTTCTTTATGTATAAAATTAAAATAGACAAGAAATTGTTTATTGAAAATTTATGTTATAAATTAATGAAGAATGCGATAAAGAAATTTGTATATCGGAACCAAATCACACAAATTTATAATCGCACTGAGACACTCTTTCTATTTGAAAGAAAAGTTACAATTCTTCTGTATTAGGCGAGTACAAAACTTGAATATAAAACTTCTTTTTTTATTACTAATGGGCTGCGGATTGGTGCTTTACCATTGCAGACATTCCCCGGAAGCTGGTATCTCTTCTTAGTGCGGCACCATATAAGCCGATACCAATCACCGCAGGTAATTTTGACGCCCAGTTTCCTTCCTAGAGGGAAGCACCTGAGTTCTGAGGATGCAAACCTGTACTAGGATTTAAATTTGCCGAGAGCATCCAAGCCAAACTAACACTCTAGGGTTCTTTCACATGTCGTATTATCATACGACATGGCCGCTGTCGATTTTCTGCATCATGAAAATTTACTGACTTTGGCCGGTGTCGGACCCGCAACCTTGGGTGCAGAAAGCCAGCGACAAACCAACCATGCCTACAAAAGGACAATGTAACGTGGCCGTGGACAATGTAGCGTATTTTGATCGTATCCAATTCGTACGAGCCCTCAAAAAATTAAATATTCATTAACTCAACAAAGATATTTACATCTCTCGATTTGAGGGATACAAAAGCAGAAAATTTCTATCGAAAATAAATAAAGGACTTTGACTCTAGGGGGAAATATGCAAGTTTTGATTACAGATTAAAAGAAAAAAAATACCGTAAAATCCGGCGTATAACGTGCACTTATTCATTCAAGCTGCATTTTTGAACTTTTAGGTATATTCACCGCATAATGCGCACCTCCTTTTTTACAAAGAAACCTGAGATGTAATTACGCAGTTCTGTTACGTACTGAGGACATTTATTCGAGGTATTATCCCAGGTTTTTGAAAAAATAGCATACTTCTAGAAATACAACCCATAAGAGGTATGTCATTTCTTTTAAACAAACAGTATTTCAATCTATGTTGAGAAGTCTAATTTTTTTATGCTCATCTTTTTTTTTAAAGATATTATTTTTATACCCGGTATATAACGCGCACCTGTAAATTTCGATATTTTTTTCGTTGTTAAAAGTGTGCGTTATCCGCTGGATTTACGTTAGGACATAAAATAGCCCAAATTTATGGAAAAAAAAATATTTAATTGAAAATTTTTTATAAGCAATTATTTATCATTATTAATTTAAAACTACTTTAGCAGAAATATTTTAAAGTTATTTAATGACCTGTGGCATGTAATAATTTTCAGTAATTTTGCATTTTATTCTTACTTTTATTTTTTACAAAATAGTATAATTTTTAAATTTTTAATACTCGTTAAAACTTCGATGTGTATTTTATACATTCAGAAATCTCAGTGCTTGAATTTTTTATTGCATAGTGAAATAGACATACAAAAGTTTTTCGATTTTTTTAAAATGAATTATTTAAAAATTTCTCAACCCCAAATATTCGAACAGTTGTTCTTTTTATTTTAAAAAATAAAATGCTCAATGAATATGTTAAAAACATTGAGAAATTTTCTAAGAGCAAAATGTGAAGCTTTAAATCAATAATATTCATGAAAACACAGTGAAAAATACTAATGACTCAAGCCTTTATGGTTATTTTCAAAACATATTTGTACTGATTGTCACCGTGGATCAAACGAAAATTAGAGGTATGGTATTTTATCCCCTTTACCTGTATCTGACCTTAAGTTTAGACTTGGTGTATCAGCAACAACGAGATTGCAATTGTTGTCAGCAACAATGATTATGTCAAAACATTGTAGTTCTTCTTTCAAACGATCTAAATTTAACCTCTCATTAAGTCTTTCCTCTCGATTGCTTAAGGTATCCGACTACGGTCGGAACCGCGATTTTGCAAAAGCGCATAAATGGATAGTTTTCATGATAATTAGTGTCACTTAGAATAGAATATATGCATAAAATTGTTTTAAGGACATTTTGACAAAAAGTTTTTATTTAAATATAATATTTTGGCAAAAAATTAACTTAGAATAATCTTTTTTCCAAATGTTTTCCTTTTGTGAAAAATGTTTCTATTATAATAATATTTTGCCTGCATATAGCTCAGACCTCTCTACAGAGGCTGAACTACAATTTGTGAAACATATAACTTAGAAGTGGGTTTATTCATGTTTTACGACAACAGAGGGTAGCAATTTCAAGAAAAAAACTCCAATACTTATTTCAATTGGTTGTAACTCTGAAAATAATGTGAATATTTCAAAAATTCTAGTTGAGCCTCTGTAGAGAGGTCTGAGCTATGTACAGGCAAAATATTATTATAATAGAACTATTTTTCACGAAAAAAGAACATTTGGAAAATAAATTATTCTAAGTTAATTTTTTGCCAAAAATATTATATTTAAATAAATATTTTTGTCAAAATGCCCTTAAAACAATTTTATGCATGTATTCTAATCTGAGTGACACTAAATATCATGAAAATTATCCATTTATGCGCTTTTGCAAAATCACGGTTCCGAACGCAGTCGGATACCTCTTAACACATGTTTTATATCTCAAAAAATTCCTTTCTTGTAAAAACAAGTAAAAAAAAAAAAAAACTGAAGTGAATTTCTACTTAGGTCTCAACAAAGAAAATTCTTATTTATTTGAGTTACTCTTTATTGAATAGTTACAATTAATATAAATATGTATATATACATATGACAGATCATAATATTAAGTGGCACACTAGAGAGCGATTTCCCTTTCTATATATGGTGGTGGACTATTGTTTTTGTTTGTCACTTTTTTTTAATTCATAAATCACATTCTCAGAAATTGCCACCCAGCCAGTATTGTGGATACCCCCCTCGGGTTGTAACCGAGTGGGTTCGGATTCGAATCTCGAATAAGGCATGAATGTATTTTCTTCGGGAAAAGAAGTCGGACTTCTTCGCCTGTGATGGATTCCCGTCTCAAATAGTCGTTCCTTCTGTTTATGCTGGGATCATCATTTGTTATAAAATGTCTATATACTTCTGTTTGAATTGTATGTGACTGCTCTTTACTTGTATTTCATATGTGTATCCCAGGATAAAAACACACAACAACATTCTCAGAAATTAAGCCATCCCAGGTAGGATTGAAACCTACGACCTTCGAATTAGAAGTTCAACGGACTATCCATTGCGCTACAGGGACACAACGAGTAATTTTCCTTTTTATATATGGTGTTGGACTATTATTTGTGTGTTTGTTACTGTTTATACATTAATTAAGTTTAACTAACGAATTAATATTTGAAAAAACTGTTTTAAGATCAAGCGCCATCCACTACATGTTTAAAAAATACGTATTTGAATTTGAATGGATGAATAGAAAGTATTTTATTAACGTTTGAAAATTTGAACAAGATCAGTAGCACACACAGGAATTTTTCAACGGGGGGAGAGGTCCAGGGTTGGAAGTCCACTATTCTCGTATCATGCTCCAATACGTCGCCCACATATTCTCTTGATTTTGTCAATTTTCGGGAACAAAAAAAATGATAAAAAATTCCTTATTGAATAAATAATTAACATTAATTAATGAAATTAATAATTAATAACAAATACTTAATTAAAATTGACGCGTACTATATACATAGGATTATAAAAAATCGAAAACAAATCAAGGGCTTTGGGAGGAGTTCCGGACCTGGGACCCCCTTTGTGTGCGCCACTGAACAAGATATATATATATATATATATATATATATATATATATATATATATATATATATATATATATATATAGGGAGATTGTGAACTAATAATAGGAATTGAAAAAAAAAGAGCTTGAAAAAATAAATTCTATTTAGTTTTTAATATAATTGCATAATATTGGAGATCAGAAAATTTTCATTCATGTCTTGCTGGAAGAAGTAGAGATGATAGAAAAAAATGAAATCCTCCAAAAAATGAACGTAATAAAAACATGAGCGAGCAAGTTTCACATCTTATTAAATAGCAAGCCAAATTCTGTTTAATGCAAAACAGAAATTGAGCTCCAAGACATACCAAATACATTCATCTGATAAATATGAAAATGGAGAATTTTTCAAATAATCGGTGCCAAGGAGAAATCGATAAGAATAAAATAAAGAAAGAGAGCTTTCAAAATTTATTGCGTTTTCTCTTAAATTGTTAAACATTGATATCCAGAAAAATAATAGAGAATACATTAAGTGCACCGAATTATTTATTCATTGGGTAGTGATTTTCTTTGAGGCCATTTCGAATCTAGATTCAAGATTCGAAATATTTTAAGTTGTAAGTTTCTGAAACAAACACATTTTTAAGTTTTTTTTTAAATGTTAAAAATGTTTTAATTGTTTTAAAAAATAATTCATTATTATCTGTACATAAGGTGTTAAAAATAGATCCAATAAAAATGAATAATATGAACATTATCTATGATTTTAACAAAAGTCTATGAACAAAACTATGATTTTAAAACAAGTTTATGAACAAATTTATGAATTTGAAACAAGTTTTAACAAACAAAGCAAAAAATATATTTGACGACTTTTCAATCACTTCAGAAAATAACAGTTAGTTTTAAATAATATCATTTTGTTTTGATAAAGTAAGTACTACAATTTTCAAACAAAATTTTTTAGTAAATACTACAGGAAGCTAGAAATTTTAATTTATTTGTAATATTTTTAAAATATTAAAAAAATTTCATACAAAAATTTAAATTTTTTAAAAATTAAAGTTTTATATGTGTTTAGTGTTTTTTTGTGAAATTTTAATACATTTAATTTAAGTATTAATGTAAAATAGATTTATAGTTTTTAAAATGAAAATGAAAGTCTTTAATTAAAGAAATTATTAGGCTCTATAATGTAAAACCTTATTTTGTAAATAACTTTGGTTGATTTTTGCACATCTAATGATTTGCATTAATTTTTCCTTGAAATTCAATTGTCCCTTTTGTTTGAAGGAGGGAAAACGAAAAGAAATTGATATCTTTAAAATATTTTACAGCAATAGCTAGTTAGTAAGTCAGAAGCAGGACAGAAAGGCATCTTAAACACACATGCTTTCTTTTCCCTTTGCGATACTTTCAGAAAACAATAGATTCAAAATAAGCTAAATTCAAGAACACGATCTAAGAGAGATAGAGAGAGAAAAGCTTTATTTGAGCAAATATTTAGCACAAGAAGCAAATATTATTCAAATCGGACATATTTTCGTCTCCGCACATATTTTTTTCTTTTCAAAGACAATTTGACCTTAGATTGGAAATTTTCTCTTCGCTGTTAGTGATTCAATTCCAAAAATCAAAGTTCTTTAAATATTATAGAAGATTTATAAAAATATTATTTTGATTACCCCAATTTCAAAATTCATATATATAATTCGAATTGGGAAAAGTTATTAAAAAGGTTAAGAAAGTGAAGTATTTGGCAAACTGACGAAAACGCCAGACGTCATCGAACGACGATAGTTGTATTTCTAGTAATACGTGATCGTCGACCAAACTATGTTTAATGCCTTAGAGGAAAAACATGTCGTATGATCATATGTATTTAAACAACCGATTGAGAGAATATGAATTTTATGAACTATTCGTAAATTTGGATTTTGACACTGACCTTGAAGGATTTATGTGCTTTCTTTTTTTTCTTTCTTTTTCATTTAAACTTACGTTTAAAACATCTCAAAAGTTATAAGATTAATATCGCTTGCGCGTGATTAACAAAAAATCTAAAAAAAAGAAAAATCCTTTTTCCGGGATTAGCAGATTTCACATATAAGCCGATTCCCGGGCTTTCGCTTTGAAAAAGCTCTAGAAATTATCAGCCTTTGCACGGAATCATACGAAATGCATAAAAACTTGGAAAATTTAATTTTATAAATAAAACAATAATCAATATTTTTTTAAACGAAAAAATATTTAATACAGAATAAAAATTATTCCCACCTAACAAGGCAAAAAAAAAAATAAAAGAAAAGAAAATAATCTAACATTTTAAGTTCTGTATTTCCTTAAATATTCTTAAAAATATATTAATGATATGAAAAAACATTCATCTCACATACGCTTTTAAAAAAATAATTCTAAAAATTTTCTCTGCTAATTATCTTACATAATTAAAAATTTTCAGCATCAGCGAAAATGGAAGATGTGAAGTAAATAATAGTTTTTATATTATTTGTAAGCCAAATAATTAAGCAAAAAAACTTTTTTTAAAAATTGAATAGCTTTTTTTTTATTGATCAACATTTTTTATCTGGATAAATTTTTGTCTTTGGAGGAATTATTTCTTTAATTTGAGTAGTTTATTATTTTTTTAAATATAATATACCCCTAAGTATACGATATTAACAGGTACTGATGCAAATTTTGGGGAACAGCCTTTTGAATTTTTAAAAGCGTAATTAACATTCAGAATTATTTTTTCTTTCTTTTTGAGAAATGGATAAACACAGTTAATAAACAAATGCATCGATTCGGTAGTAATTGAGGGGCTGCGGTAGTCCAATGGTCAAGGTATTGGATCATGGCAGGCACGTCATGAGTTCGAACCCAGTACCACTAAAGACCCGCCGTGTAGGGGGCGATGCACGTTAAATCTGTCGATCTCCAACGTCTCCCGTTGGTATGGTGTGGTAGTTAGGAGAGGGAGTGCCAGCTCAGGTGTCATCCTCGTCACTTGACCATGGTTCAAAATTAAGAGATCCGTCGCCAAAAGCCCTCGTGTAGCTGAACAGTGCAATGTTAAAGCTGTTATCGGCTAATGTTAAAGAATGGGACCCAAATTCGGAATATTTTTTGAGATATAAAAGTACTCAACATTAATATTATATTCTGGCTTCACTATCCTGTAGAGAATAACTTATTTTATCATACTACTCGTTTTTATCCGAGTTGACGCATTTTTCTTTTATAAAATGTATTTCGCATTTTTTCTCCTATACCGTAATGCTAAATGAAATCTCCCTTTACACGTGAAAAGAAAAAAAACTAATTATTTATGAAATATTTCAAAATTTTAAAAGCACTATATTATAAACAAATGCATGAGTTACAATGTCATAAATTTTTATAAAAATTGAGGCATTTTTCTGTCCGAAAATGTGCTTCGCGATAAGTTCACGTTCATTTGCATCTGACGAAAACAGACTTAATATTCATTCTCTCACTCACACTCGGCAGTTATTGATTCTGATAAATAATTCTACCAATACCTTGTTTCCTAAAAAAGTTCATTGCAGATCTTAAGAAAATTAAACTTTAAAAAATATATATATTATAACGTTTTATATCTCCATTTACCGTAAGAAAAATAATATTCATTGCCTGTTTTTTAATATGAATAGCAAATGTTTAAAAAATGTTTCATAATTTAAGATTCAATCTGTTTATACAAAAAAAATTCTGACTTTTAATTTGTACATTAATTACTATTAAGTTATTGGACTATATAATTTGATTTGTAGAATTTTTTATCATTACAAATTAGTTTTAAGTGTTTGCGAATTATTTTATAAGTTAATGTTTTATATAATTTCCTTTATCTCGTTATTTTTCACATTAAAATTCAAAAAGATTTTTTTCCGAAAACCTTTACAAGAAATTTTAGAGAAATGCAACACAGGCATTTTTTTAATCTTTGAAAAAAAAAATTATTTATATTAATTTTTATTTTTGACCTCTTTGTGCTGAAAAATTAAAAGACGGAACCACTTTTAATCAAAAATTATTATGCTCCATAACTCTGAAAAATTTACTTTCTTTCCATTTATACCATTTAAAAAAGAATATGATGATCGCTATTTATTTCTTTTACATTTTAATGAGCAAAGAAAATCACTTGCGTGGTAAAGAACATGTTATATAGTGTTATGATTAAAAAAAAACTAATGTATAGTAAAAACACCAATTAATTTTCAAGATTTTATTTTTCTGATTAAATAATTTTTATTTAATTTATCTTCGTAATCAAACAGTTTTTTCCTCTATCAAGATTACGAAATAAGGTTTAATGTACGAAACATGCAAGAATGTGGTTAGATTTTAAAACTGAGAGTAAGAATATAATAGTATTAATGCATATTCAACAATTAAAAAATATATAATAGGCATAATTTAAATAACTTTTAAAGAACAAATAAATTTTTTCAAACAAATCTAAAATTTAAAAGTTTAGA